CCCCAAAAACACCCTTTGATATTCGTTTTGTAATTTCAACAAATTATAATTTTATTGCTATTCTAAATATAGTGAGGCGGAGAATGTTATGACCCTTTCCTGAACCAGAATCGGGGGAGGATTAGAGGAAAAGAGAGATCAAAATGTGCCGTCAATAAAGTGAGGGATTTCCATTTTTCCTTCCCCTCACTCCCCCTTTTCAATAAATAAGCTCCTCGGGTCCCTCTTTGACAAGGAAGGAAACGAAATAATCTCAATTTTACGACAAATCCGGTCCGATGGCTGTTCTCCAAAAGAAGAAGTATTCAGTTAAGAATTTTTTTCACTTATAGGGCTTGAATCAGAAAAAATATTTTGAAGAATTAGCCCTAACTTTATGGAAAGTATTTTAAAGAGAAAAAAAAGGTAGTTTAAATTTACTTGTTCGGGAAACTTTTTTATAAAAGAAAGATTGAAATTTTCTTATACCAAAAAAATATGAATCTGGTTAATTGCATGTAGTTTGCTCAGTTGAAGCTTTTGTGACCGAAAGAAACACATTTCTTCGAAGAACAGCCTAAAACCAATTCTTTCAAAATAATTGTTTAAAAACATTTCTCGCGAAATACCTTAAAGAAAACTAACAAGTTACAAGTTTTTGGAGAACGCTTTTGCAAGATTACAGTTTTTAAGATAATGCTTCACAACCAAGTCCCCTCCCCAAAAAAGCTTATTATAACATGGAAAACTTCAGCAATATTATTAATACACTTCAACTGACTTCTTTACCATTTTAACACTTCAAATGGCTATTAAGTATATCAAGTGAATACCTGAGTAGACTAGATTATGTGCGTGAGTTACACTTGATAATAATGTGTCAAATAAACCAATTAAAAAATAATATGTATAATTTATAATTAAAATATTTGACGCGTGTAATTAAAAAAAAAGAGACATTTTTCATTTTTTTTTCAACTAGACCATCGCCCCTCCCCCGAAACCTATCAGCACCTTTTGTGAGCCGTCAAAATCTCCGGCAGCTAATGTTATTCCCCGCCAATATTGCTGTATTTGTAAATAATAATTCTGCAAAATATAAGTTAACGTAATGAAACAATAATAAATTCGAGCCCACTGAATTCACAGTGTTTCCTTAAGGAATTTAATCCCCTCCTAGTACCCAAGGTAATGGATTATTTCCTCCCAGGATAGAACGAATAACACACTGGTGTAGCGGTACTTCAAACCCCAGTGTTTCAGCGAACACAAAGTTCGGTAGCAAATCACACTTACAGTTGCTTTGTTTGAAGTTAAAAA